ACGAGTAAAACAAACTCAGTTTCTTTGGTAACTCAGACAGGGAGAATAGTTGTTGTCGGGTGTTGGTGAATGCTGGCGTGTCATCCAAAATGTCATGGCGTGTCATCTTTGACACGCATGTCATAGGTTTGCCATCACTGATATAGAGCATAGTATATAGGTAATTGTAATAGAGTAATAGAGCCAGTTTGGTGTAGTGGTTAAGACATCAGGCTAGAAACCGGGAGACTGTGAGTTCTAGTCCTGCCTTAGGCACAAAGCCAGCTGGGAGACTTTAAGCCAGTCACTTTCCCTCCACCCGAGGAAGGAGGCAATGGCAACCCACTTCTGAAAAACCTTGCCAAGAAAACTTCAGGGACTTGTCCAGCAGTCTCCGAGAATCAGACACAATTGAATGGATAAAAAAAAATAGAGTAATATATAATAGGATAAACATGATCATAATAATAGCAATTGAAGAGTAATAGTACATTGTAATAGTAATTATCAATAGTAATGGTATAGCAATAGCAATAGAAGAGAATGTAGGAAGCATTCACATACCACTTTTTATATGTTTGTTTTTACAAAATAAAACATCTCCCCAATCCTTATAGGGAGGTATAAAGAAACCCCCTGTCCAGGGTCCAATGCTGTTGAGTGTCTTTTGAGTCTGGGTCAGTCCAGTGGAGCATGGTTTTTAAAAAAAAGGCAAGATTATTCAGAAATACCCTGATCGGGAAGTGGAATTCCAAGCTAATTAAGTATAGCATTAAGTTGGAGGAAGGATTGGACTTGAAGACTTAAATATCCCCTTCCAATTTCATGACTCTAAAATGATTGCAAAATAAATCTGGAACTTTATAATACAATCTGTCAAGATTTGGAACTATTCTAGGCAGGTAAAAGTGCAAAAATAAACCATCTACTGAGATGGTACAATGGAGATGGTACAATAAGTGTGTGTGTGTGTGTGTGTGTGTGTACATATAAAAATTAAATCGGCAATGTCTATTAATGCAGGCTCTGACAACTGAAAGTACAAATGATCTGGAAGCTCTAGTAGTAAATGTCAAGAAGCCTAGTGAGAAAATGGGGTGACAATTAAATATGAAGAAAACCCAACTCATGGCAGAGAATCTGAAGGACCAGGTCATTGTTCTGGAGAACATTCTTCTATGTGGTTGCTAAAAGTCAACACTGACTTGACAGCACGTAATTCAGCTAATGATAATAGGCACAGCAACCAGCCTTAAAATGTGCGAAGAAGATACTGAAGGGATGGGTAACATTTGCCTTTTAAGATCAGCTGTCAACAGAAGAGGAGAAAGTAGTCAGAAAATATGCTGCAGACTAGCATTTGGTAGCACAGTCTGGTAGAAGGCCTTGGAAAAAATATTCACATGCTGTGATGTGTCTGAACCTGCAAAGATCAGAATCAGGTAGGTTTTCTCTGTGACACTTCATGCAAGTGATAGTTGGACTTTGAAGAGCAATACAGGATAGACGCTTTTGAACTATGGTGGTGCAGAAGACAATAGAGAATACCAAGAATGGTCAAATAAACAAATCGATCATAGAAGAAATAAGTGCCGAGTTCTCACTCAAGGCACGAATGACCAGGCTCAAATTATCATATTTTGTGAAGACCCAGCTCCCTTGAGAAGTCCCTAATGCTGGGAAAGGTAGAAGGAAAGGGAAGAGGACAACAAGCAACAAAGTGAATGGTCCTGATGACAGTGCTGATGGGTGCGCTGTTGGGAGCCCTAAATGCTGAGTTTGGGACAGATCATCCTGGAGAAGATCTATCTAGATCAGTGTTTCTTCAACTTGGCAACTTTAAGATGTGTGGACTTCAACTCCCAGAATTCCCTGACTGGGGAATTCTAGGAGTTAAAATCCACACATCTTAAAGTTGCCATGTATATAAACAAATGCTTCCTATTTCTTCCAGTCTCTGTCTCCAATATCTTTCTAGCCAAACAACTGCCTTAAATACTTAGGAAAGGAGAATGTTGAGACTAGAAACAGAATATATTTGTGATTTGCATACCAGGAACATTATCAGACCTTAGAGAATGGCCATATGATTGCCATTCCCCCCTCTTCAATTGTTCCGTCAAAAGCACCCTTTAAGTTATTTTTATCTGGACTCCAGAACTGAGAGATCTCAGGATTCATGGGCTTTGGAATCCATTCAAAGAGATAATGAGAAGGTAGTATAATTGTTGTTCTTTCACCAGCTTGCTCATGTTGTTCCCCAATTATATACTTTCAGTCCAAGAAAATTGCAGGCTTGGAAACATGTCAGGTTATTGTTGTGGTGCAAGGCAGAAAGATTTGCCTTGGCAGAAGCTGGAGAGGTTTATCTTGAGGTCTCAAAGCTTCAGGAGGCCCTCAAAAGCTTTGGACACATCTCATAGAGAACTCAAAATGCTTTCTTTTTGGTTCCCCCCCACCCCCACTTTTTTTGACCTTTATTTATTTACTAAAATAACATAAAAATAAATGAAAAACAAAAATAATAAAAGAAAAATGGGGCAAAAAATCAGTAAGGGCTTTTTTTATACAATGGTTTTTATACAATGGTATGAATCAAGGATATGCACATTGTAATTATGTGCATTCATAAGTCCCAAGTAACATCAGGACTTCTATTCACTTAGTAATCAGGGCCATAAATTTATGTTTTCAGCGTTGAAGGACTAATCTTTTCACAATAAAAAGGACACAGATGGTCTAGCCATCAAATTCCATATGTATATGTATATACAAATAAAATAGTTCAAAAGAATGTAAACAACTGAAAATATTAAACTTTTATCTCAAAATATATGTAATTACTTCTTTCCAATGCATAATAACTTAAGGACATTGCAAAACATATGCTTTAATAAAGTGTTATTCTCATTGCATCTCCAACAACATGATGACTTATGCATTCCTTTTATATACAAATTCAGTGGGGTCCAGTAAGTTCAGAATACTTTTTGTTGAATAAGCCATAATCTAACACCTGTTGATGGAAAGGTAGGATGACCAGCACCAAAGTGGACAGGCTTAGTTACAGCGACAGTGGGTTCTCAGATCTACCATTGGAAGATCTGAAGGACCAGGTTGGGGACAGAGCGTCTTGGAGAAAATCTGTCTATGTGGTTGCTAGCATCAACACTGAGTTGATGGCACCAAATTGATCAATCAAGATCTGTTGAAATGTTTCATTATAGACATTAAGATGGTTTAACAACAACAACAATAATTTTTTATTAAATTTATATGCTGCCCAACTCCCAGTGACTCTGGGCAGTTTACAATTGTTAAAACATTTAAAAACGAAGAGCAATACAGTTTCCCATTGCTTACACAAAATGGGAATCTCCAAATTCTTATTCCATTTAGACTTTAACATTTCCATATGAAATACATTGTCAATAACAGGTATCTGTGAGGAGTGATTGTAACCAAGTTGTGAATTAGAACTCTTTAGTATGATAAGGTAGACTCTTTAATTTGGAAAAAAGGCAGCTGAGGGGGGAACATGGTTCAGATGTAGAAAATCTTGCATGGGGTGGAGAAAGTGGGTAGGGAAAGTAGATAGGCTTCCTCCCTCACTCCAAACTCTAGGTCCAAGGGTCAACCAGTGAAGCTGATTGGAAGAAGATTCAGGAGAGACCGAAGAAAGCACTTCTTCGCACATTAACCTGCGGAATTCATTCCTGCAAGACATGGGGGTGGCTGCTTATTTGCCCAGCTTTAAAAGGGATTGGTTAAATTCATGGAGGGGCAATCTATCAAGGATTCAGTATGACCACCCGGCTGGGGGCAGTATGCCTCCAAATCCCAGTTGCAGGGGAACACTGGTAAGGGGTATGTCTCCATCTCCTCTTAGGGAGCACCCCAGTAGCATGTGATTGCCCTGGACGATCCAGCAACATGCTTAATTTCAGAATATCTGTATCCTTGAGCCATTCATGGGTAGACAGCTTTGAGGAGAGCCCAACAAAGCCAGGCCAGAGAGAGAAGGATTATGCTTTCTATGGAAAGCCGCAGCAGAATTTATTTCTGTTTGCATGGTATCTTAAAAGCAACCTTTTACCTGCCAGCAATCCTATTTCTTTCTCCTACACACATACTTTTAAGACAAAGAAGGGAACCCCTTGGACCCTGATTCTGTTTTTGTTCCCTCAGGATCATCACCCTTGTCCTAGCAAAATCTGTTGATGAACCACCCAGATTTGGAAGTTTGGGGATTTCCCCCTTTTTAAAAGAAATCCCAAGCAAATAGTTCTCTTCAGCCCCCCTGGGCTCATAGCATCGTTTGGACTTTAAACCAAAACAAGTCAAACCAAGGGAAGCCATCCAAAGCAAACAGGAACCTTAACAATCTGCTTCACTCTCTCACATCCAAGAGGGTTTGGGGAGGGAGGAGTGCTGATATATCTGAGGAAGTTTGCCCCACCCTCCAGCCTTTCCTAGCCTTCCTGCTTGCTTTCAGAGCCCCCCTTTTTTTCTTCTGACAAGCAGTTGGGCCAATGGCCAATTATCCTATCATGATATTGGCCAGGTGGCCACACACAGGTCATGAGATGACTTTGAGTCAATTCCACCAAAGTTTGCCTGGTGGACTCCTTACTGGATTTACAAAGGAGGTTTGCTAAAGCCTCAAAGAAGCCTTCGAGATGGAAAAAAGAAAAACTGAAGAGAGATCAAATTCTACGACAATATCTGAATGAATTAAAGATCAGGATTGCTGATCAAAAGGAAGGAGTAGGAAGTTGGTTTGTTTGACCAAGGTTAAACTAAGATATGTTTCTAAGAATTTCTGGGATCCCTTATGGACTTTTTGCTGACACCAGGACTGAAACATTAATGATTTATGGATTTCTGTATGGATAAGGGATGGTTTATGGGAAGAAGAGATACTTGCATGTAACCTTACAGGGGGCGAAGAATTTGTATTTGTTGTGATGAAGATCGGAAGTCACTTTAAATATTTTTCTTGTTTTCTTATTTTTCCCTTTTCCCTTTTTTCCCCCTTTCCTCTTGCACTTTCTATTCTCTCTTTATTTTTCTTTTCCTTTCTGAGTTTAATTTTTATTGTCTTTTATGACTGTTTTTTTTAAAAATTCAATAAAAATTACTTTAAAAAAAATTCCACCAGTGTTTGCCGACTTTAAGACATGTGGATTTGAAGTCCTAAGATTCTTAACAATTGGAAATGCTGGATGGGGAATTCTGGGTGTTTTCTGCTATTTTGAGTTGCACAGAAAATGTAGCCTAAGCCCTATGAGCTCACGTAATTCGTATTTATAAAAAGAAAAAGAGAAACCTTACTGTCCTTTGCAGAAGGCGCAAAATTCTGCTTCCACTCACTTTGCATCATCCCCCACACGCTACGGTTTCCAGCCAGCTACAAAATGGTAATCTTTATCAAGCAGTTGCAAGGAACTTGAAATTTCCTAGGTCACAATGCATGCAATCAAAAAGGGCCCATATCTTTTGTTTTGTTTTTTTAATTTTTTTTTCTTTCCCCCCTCATTTCCCTGTGTAGTTTTCCCAACACTGCAAAAAAAAAAAGAAAGAAAGAAAGAAAAGAAAAAAGAAAAG